CAAAAAAAAAAAAAAAAAAAAGACAAAAGCCCCACAGTGAGCTAGTGTCTCTCACTCTCTCCCGCTGGTTTTCAAATATCTAACTATCTGGAAAAATCCATCTAATTGGCTACATTTTCCCACGTTCATACAGATATTCATTCCACCTACATTTATTGAGTAATTACAGCATATGAGGTACCAGTCTAGACCCTGGTTTACTCAGAGAAGTGAAAAACAAATTTTAAAAAGACTGTTTGCAAGAGATAAGATGTGAGGAGGAGAGCCAGCAATGATCTGGTCGATTTTATTTCCATAGAAGGGCTGTCCTTTAGCCATTGGGTGGATTAAATTCTCAGAAGGGTTGCCAATACTCCAGTTCTTTTTCTTTGGTGTGAGAGTGAATTGAGAGAGGGAGCTGGTATTTTTCTCAGCTCCATCCCATAATGAGCATAATAAGAGTTACTCTGCATTCAATGTTCATTTCATGTCTACACTATGCTACTAGCTTTCTCTATCTCATTTAATTTCATTTAATTCTCACAACCTATAAAGTAGAACTATTATCCCCATTTTAAAGATGATGAAAACTAAGGTTCAGAGAGGTTAAGCAAGTCACCCAAGATCACACAGCTAGTAAGTGAAGGAATCAGTATGCCAAGCAGGTCCATCTATCTCTTCTACAGCCTGTATTCTTCTAACCCTGCTGTATTACTTTCCATCTGTTTGGTTTTTTATCTTATTTGTATATGGCAAGCCCAGCTCTCCGAATACATGACTCATTTTCTGTTTGGGGCAACTTAGGGTTACTAGACCTCACCCCATTAAAAAAGTGACCATGTAGAAGCATGGGAACAGACTCGAGGTCCTCCCTGACCCTTTGGGGTCTCTTCAGAGCCTGAGATTCTAAATGATGAAGAGGAGCCCGGGGGGCCTGGAGCATGGCTGGGCAGATTGTCGCATCCCCTCCCCACATACTTGGCCTTGAAGTCCTCCACGCTGTCCTGCATGATCTTCAGCTCATACTGCAGGCGTCCTTTGTTGTTGGTCAAGGCATCCAGCTGCTTCCTCAGGGCACTGAGGTAGACCTCAAAGAAGGGATCAAGGTTTTTGCTGGATGTGGTTGTCGCCTGCTGCTGAAGGAGGTTCCACTTGGTCTCTAGAACCTTGTTCTGCTGCTCTAAGAACCGCACCTGTATTTAACACAGGCACCAACCAACAGATGAGGACCTGAATCTCTGGCAGGAGGGCTGGCCAACACCATCCCAGTCAATCCAAGCTAACCAGGGAGCCCAAGAGCCATCCGAGTAGGGCCACCACGTTGCAACTCCAGACATTATCTGCTGGGGTCAACATGGCGGCCCTGCTCCGTAGCAGCAAGTGGGCCACGTGTGTTGGGAAGAGCAGAGCAGACCCCAAGCATCGGGGCCTGACTGTGCAGCAAGAACAACTTCCCGACCACAGGGATCCAGAGTTACTGAGAAGGGATGAGTTGCTGAGCATACTGAACTTCTATGAAATAATAAAATAAAACAAATTTAGGAGATACAACCACAGCCTAAAGGCTATTGCATTCAAAGTGATCCCGACCCAAGGCAAAGGAATGATAAATTCACTGAAGATGTTTTAAACAAGCTTTCTTATAAATGGACCTGGTGTGTCCCTGTGAATCTGTGCACAACTGAGTATAAATATTTAAGATCAAGCCCTAGACATATTCTGAGTCTCATAGACTCACTGCTGCAAGGGGACTTCCCTAAACTTTCCTTCTAGGAAGAGATCTAGCCAGATAAACCAAGGTTTGGCATGATATTTCCACTTTAGGTGCTTCAGAATTGAAAGAAAAGCAGGTAAGGGTGACTGATCACAGTTTGAACTTAAACTGATGATGGGAGATTAGACAAGGAAGCACCCAACCCTTGGTCTTACTTGCATTTCTATAGGTCCTAGAGTCACAATAAAGCCCTTTTAAGCTGCTATGGGTTAATTCAAACTAGCAAGAAGAGCAAATACTCCCACTTAATCTACTCCAAGATTGTTCATTCTTGCCCCATTCATCTAAGAGAACTAAGACTTCAATGCACAGAGAACCAGGGCACCCTGGGCCAAATGTGCTGCAGCCATCTATTCAGTCATTCATCTTTGGATTAATGACTCCCTGGAACTAATCTCTTTGCTATCATCCATCATACAGAAGCACAGCATACAGCAGAAAAGACTTGGACCTCCAGACCTTGCATGGAGTAGGGAAGTGGACTACAAAAAAAGAAAATCAGAGAGCCATCCCCTATCCTCTTCAAATAGACCCAGAAATTAGCAATTTTGCCCAGAATCAGGAGGATGAACACAATGACCTTCCAAGGTCCTACCAGGAACTCTAATCTGCCATTAGAGTCAGTCCCTTTCTCGTTTGGGAAACCAGCCTGGTTTTCTTCTGCTCTGACAACAGAAGTGCCAGTTGTTAAGCTATTATATTAACTATAATTAATTAACTATTAAATTATTAGCCATATTATTTATGAAACCAAAATCTGAGAATAATCAGGGGAACAAGGAACCCACTTTATAGCTGGGGTGACTGGACCCAGAAAAGTTGAATGATTTGCCTAGTAACACATAGCACGTCAGGAAATCCAAGTATTGAACTGCTTTGAGCAGCCTGTTTTCCCACCAGCCATAGGACAAAAGAGAAAGAGTAATGACTCTTCTTAACCGGGTGGGAAACAGTGGCCCAGAGAAATTCACTGTTTTCCCAAGTCCGCAGCAGGCTCAGGTCTGAGATGCCAGGACTCAGAAACCCTGGCTTTTACCACCTTATCTGACCAAGGGGCTGGCTCACCTTGTCAATGAAGGAGGCGAACCTGTCATTGAGGGTCTTGATCTGCTCTCGCTCCTCGGTCCGGACCTTCTGGATCTCAGGGTCAATCTCCATGTGGAGTGGCGTCAGCAGGCTCTGATTGATGGTGACCTCCTGAATCCCTCCAGCAGGGCAGACAGCGAAGCCAGCACCACCCTGTCCACCAAAGGAGCCCCCGAATCCAAGGCCAAAGCAGCCAGCCCCCAAACCTCCAGCAGCCCCAAACCCAGCGCCTCGCCGGCACCCAGCCGTGCCGAAGGGGATGCTTTTGTTCCCCCCGAGGTTGCAGAGGCTCCTGCTACTGAAGCCCCCGGAGGAGCAGCAGCCTGTGCCTCCAGACATGGAGATCGAGCTGAAAACAGCCTTCTTGCCTCCACCTACGATGGCTGAGCCACAGCTAAAGCCCTGGGGCCCGCCTCGGACACACTGCTGTCTGATGAGCATGGCTGGAGAGAGAGGAACACGCTCAGAGTTGTCAGGGAGAAGCGAGAAGGGCCAGGCCACTGACTGCCACAGCCGTAGCCTGGGTCTCTTATATGTGCAGGAGAGCAGGGCTTGGTTGCAGGGGCATAAAGGGAAAAATCTGAAACGCCTCTGGGCTTGGCCTTTGGCACTGGCCCATCCTTCTTACACCTGCTGAA